ACACACACACACTTACACACATACTTACACACATACTTACCCACACACACAAACACAAACACTCACACGCGTGCACGACCAAACGCGTACTAATACACACATTTGAGTATGAACATACACTGTACATTTACATACATACAAACAGTATGTATGCGCGCATGACACTCTATGTCACGATAAGACTAAAGAATAATTGCTTGTAAGTTGTATTGTAGGCTTTCTTAGTATGATACCCTGGCTTGTTTTCCAAGCGCCCCCAAGCTTGGCTCGAACCTGTCCTCTGCAGTAGAAATACTTACATGTATTTACAGTAAATCGTGTTGTTGTAGAGAAACTATATTTTTTTCTCGAAGTAAGCGACGATGTGAAATATTCGAATTTCAAATTATTATTTGAATGTAAAAGAACCTCACTGACAACAATAACTATCCAGTACAGGGAACAACAAATAAGAAAGATAAATAGAAACAAAAGAGAGGCATATTTCTTTTCTTTTTTAATTTAAACGTAGAACACACTATAATTGGTCTGGTGTACATTTTTGGGTACGAAATGAGATTCCAGAGAATAAGTTACGTGTTGGATGAATGGACATCGCTAAAAGAACTTAAAGGAAAGAACCCACAGAAGGCATTGGGAACTAGACTGCTGCCGATTGGAGAACAAGCATTGATTGAATGTGGAGAAGAAAGAGTTATTGGATTGGGAGGGCGAGTGAGCGAATAACGAAGGTCAATGTTTGTGTATCTTGCGTCTTCGCTAAAATACTTTATTGCATAACGTTCTCAAAGAGTCCAAATGAGCAGAAAAGTGAATGTTTGTTGGGGTTGTTTTTTTAGGGGGGGGGGTGTTTGTTTGGTTTTGTTTTTGTTTTCGTTTTTTTTTTCCTTCACGTGTGAAAAAAACGTCTATAGATGTGTGAATCGACAGTTATTGGTGGACAACTGCTTCCTCCCTCATCCCCCCTCATTCCCTTCCGAACGTATTCAAAATCGTGTACAATCAGCCTTAAGTTTCTCCCTCATGAAACAGGCTGCCCTAACATTCAAATTTAATTGAGTACAAAAGTACTCGGCAGTATTTCGGTTACGTCAAGCTGGCACTGGTCCTATTTTGGTTGGTTGAATTCTTCTCCTTTTCTCAATATTATCTATTTTCTCATTGTCCTACTTTCGTCGTGCTTAGATTTTCAAAAAAGTCTTGTGTGTTAAACTGTTCTTATAAGAAATGCATTATTATAGATGTACTATGCCTTCATCGGCACCATGTACATTATATTATTTGGGATGCTGGCTGCTCTGACCCTGCCCGTCAGGACCAACCCAGGCTGTGAGTGATTATATAATGTCCAAGTAAAAGGACGGGAATACTCGATAAAAGCTCTTCCCCACACGGAAATCAAACTCACGGCTCCTGCGTGCGAAGGTAACGCCCCTGACGACTACACCAAAAATACTGCTCGAGTAATCTGTTCTGAATTTTTCTACCGTTTTTGATTGTCATATTCGGGGTGTCCACAACGGCTGGATCGGGCCGATCGCCCGACTCGGTCGCCTGAAACTGAAAACA